ATGTGCAAAAATGATTGTATTCTGTAGTGACATTTCCACTGCCCAAGAGCTGATATGAAGCTGGTCTTTTTAGCTTTTATATACATTTGCAACCACTGTTCTCAAGGGAAAACATCTGCCAGCATCTGAGCACTCCTCACTTGTTTTCTAGCTTTTCCTTTCCATATTGCAACTTTTCAAAGCACATTACAGCAGCTTTTTGTGTCATGTAGTCTTTCTACTCTCATGAAACTTACTCAGTATGAAAAATACACACAAAACTCAGTAATACGGGAAGTTCTCCATCACATCTCTCTCTAAAGTTGAGGAATATGTGAAGTATTACTATATAAATAATCACATATAACAAAATTCACTTTCTTTTTTGAGTCTCTGACATTTCATTCCTGTTTTCTTTGCAGAAAATATTTTATCAGAAATAGTTATTATTATAAATATGTTGTCTGCTCTCATTCTGCCTCATAATCTTAAATGCTGTTCTCTAGATCATTTAACAGTGCTAGTTCTGCACATACCAGGTTTCCACAACTATCTGGAGGGCCTCTGGGGAACTGTTCAGTAGCTGTAAGGGAGAGCTTTGGGATTGCTTAAAAAAAAAAGTCTAATATACAAGACTGTCCAAATTTGTGCCTGAGTACACAAGGGGATTCTCATTTAGTTAGTAGGGGACAATAGAACTGCTTGAGTTGGAAGGGACCTCAAAGATCATCAAGTTCTAAAAGGTCAGTGGATGCCCTTGTAAGGGGTGAATACATTAACACAAAACCATTCCTATCTGTGATTGCCCATACGTAAGCATGTTGATCAGTATTTCTTACAAAATGTTTCCAGTTCACTTGAAATGTTCTCTTTTCCACAATCTGGTTGAAGTGAATTAGTATTGGGCATCACTGCTGTTAGAATACCAAAGCCATTTTCCTCCCTGGCCTCTGGAGGCAGCTCTGCATCTGGAGCAAGATCCCTGCAAGGTACTGCTCTTCCAAGAAATGCCAGAATGAATCAAAAATGAACTTGCAAGTGAGTGAGAAGGAAGGACTTATAATAAATATTCTGGCAGATTAAACAAAAGATCTCTTTTCTGCAGGTTTTGCATTATCATTAGTGGCAGAAAAAAACATACACGTTTATTATGCCAAGTAGAATAGAGCTATCAGTGATGTATGAAGCATGAAAATGGACTTGCATGTCTCTGAAATTGCCTTATTGAGTTATCATTTCAATGTGTGTGTCAGAGCAGCAAGAGGGTAAATCAGGCAAAACTCGAACAGAAACAACTGATGGTTTGGGGATTGGTGATAATTTGGATTCAAAGCATTCTCCAGGGTTTTATCAAGTGTGGGACAATATGCATGACAGGATTGGTGCTTCAGTAATCAGAGATTTTCTGAGAAGAAGATGAAAAGAGATTTCACTTGTATTGGTACAATCACTGTAGGGACCAGCTTATTGAATTTGAGATTGAATGAATTTGGGAGGATATAGCCACTTAGCATTGCAGAGGGGCGGGTGCATTCTGTGCCCCTAAAACTGCCTGTGGAAAAATGTAATTTAGGAAATGCTTTCGTTTCGCCCTAGTTGTTTGCACAGCAATAGTCTCAGCAGGAACCAATGACCTTTTCGATTGTCCTAGAAGATGAGGAATCAGAGGGTTGCAGAGGTTGCATCACCTAGAAATGCTACTTTGCAGTTCAGTTTGAGGTACAGTAGGGAGCAAGCATTACTTTTAGGCCATCTGTTGAGGTAATACTGTAAATGACTCAACGCTGACTCTGCACTGACATTTAGGAAGTCCAGTACATTTGCTAAGAATAACATCCCATAGAAATGAAGTTGCTCTCTGGTGTCCCACACTGCTGCCTTGCAGCAATATTTCCACACTGGCTGCATTTTTGTTACAGTAACCCAGCAGATCAGAGCAAAACTTCCCTCTTTTAGAGATCAGCCCACTTTTCAGATCTCGATCTCAGCTTTTCTACTGCCTGGGAACAATCTCACCCTGAATTGCTATCAGAAAACTTCTCGGTTTTTTCTTCATTTTCACTTTTATCTAAAACGTGCTGGAGCCATGCCTAATGTCCTCATTGGGGATTTATTATGTGGAGTATGCTACCACACTACTCAGCAGTACTGTGGAAGAATCCATTCCCTCCACAGACTCCTTGCACTGGATAGTTTGCTCTGTTACTCACTGAAACAAAAGTATATAATAAACATTGCTGGCATCAAAATCTGTGAAGGGCACAGATCAATGTTAACAGATGTTAAATCATAATATAATTCTTCCATCCACTCATGTGTACGTGCCCCACTTTGAACTCTGCTGAAGAGGCCCGTATTACACTGTGCTAGACTGCCTCTATTGCCTGTGTGACCCGTGTGGATGCTTGGCATAGGCTAGAAGAAATGACCTGCTATATTTACCTGATACGTGCAATCTCAGTCTGCATTGCCTATTTCTGAAGATTCTGATCTGCAGTTTGTCTTGGTTTTTTTCCCCTCTGGCCAGAATAGTGTTCGTGCATGTATTATATCCAGATAATTATAGCACGTATCTTTTCAGAACATGGTTTTCATAAGAAGAGAAATTGCAGGATAGTATTATTTATCACGTGTAAGCAAGTCATTCTTTTTTCTTTTGAAACCTTTTATTTGGGAAATTATGCAGCAGATTAGCCTGAGTTCAATAACATTGCTCCATGGATTTATGTTCTTCTGTTTGATTCAACTTTCTCAGCATATACTACTTATGACCCTGGTTCTCATTTGGTTGGTATTACTGTAACGAAGTTAACTTTTTTTTATACAGTTAGATCTTTTTATGGCAAATTAGTGTTTGGCCCCATATGTATTTGAGGAAACAAAAAATTATGAGGGGAGCTGCTATGTGGTGGTCAGAATGCTGTTGCCCGTATCTTAACAGAAGCAAACTATTTACTTTTGCTCCCCAGATCTTAACAAATGTTTGTCCTATATTTTCTGTTTACTGCATAGAGGACATGATGCATCTGATGGAGGGGATATATCTTGCATATGGTTTAAGACACGTTTGGTAGGAAGCCATCAAAGTTGTCTGTCCTCATAGGACAGGGAAAGATAGCAAGTCCTGGTGGACCAACATGAAGCCTCTTCAGAGCTTGTTATGTCTACTTTTCCTTCCATGACCTCACAGGCTGGCAAGGAACTTCTGCTGACTATGTACTCCTGTACTACTGGAAACAGTAAGAGCTGTTTCCAACACAGAAGTACATGGAACACCACGGTGACCCAAATTGATGAGCTTTCTTGAGCTGAAAAAACCCTCATTTCATTTACTTATTTATTGTTCTGCATTATTAGGGGCTTGGATCAACTCTTTGGCATGATTCAGTGAGCAGTCCCACGAGAGAGGGAGAAGTGCGTGAGGAACCATGCCTTCAGCCTGCTGTTTCACTATTAGGAAGCAGTGAAAAAGGCTGTGCTTTTTGGGTCAACTGAGCCATCTTCAGAGCTCTAGCTCTTCTGTGAGCCCGAGTGAAGAGATCTGCAGGCATGCTGTTTCCCTGGGGCTCATTTTGGTGACCTGCTTGTCTCTGGTTCCACAGCTGTATAGTTGGTAGATGGTAGGCATGGGCCTGGAAGACAAAGCCATAGAGGACTGCTCTTTCCATCCATCTTTCCATTCAAGCTGTAGTGTAAAAACTGCAGCTTCTGCATAGAACCTGTCTTGAGTTTCATGTTCTTCCCTAATCCATGCTTTTATCTTAGCTGGACAATAACATTGCTTAAAATTCTAGAAGAAGTCTGGTAGAACTCATACTTTTCCAAACAGTGCAAGGCCTCTTCACTCGCATCCCCGACAGCAATGCATTTTCCAGTGCAGACCAATATGTGACAATTTTCCTAACTTTATACACTCAAAGCATGATCATGCCACAGAATAAGACCTCTCCGGTGTCTCTGGCTAATAATCTGTCCCATATGCCAAAGAACTCAGATGCAGATTTTAAACATGAACACATTTAATCAGTTAACTTTGAAACTGGAGCAGAAAATCCTGCCTAGGAAATTCTCATCCATTACAGAAAATTGAGGCAAATATAAATAGGGTAATTTTCTACACTTCATGCTCTTGTAGGTGATGTAATCACAGTCCCTGTTAAGATACTCCCATGTACAGTTGCCACTCTGATCACAAATACAATAATGCTTATGTAGATTTATAATGAGAAATAACTGAGGAATGTAAGTGAATGACCTGTTTCAAACACAGATGAAAAGTATTTCGTCTGTAGTTCGTCACTGTAGCTCCTTAATGCTGATGACTGTACTGAGAAGTAACATGCATTCAATGAATGGTTTTGGCAGTAGATAAATATGTTTTTATCATAGATTATTAAGTTATTTTTCCTGCTAGTGAAACATCAATTGTTTGGTAAATCTTCAACAGGTGTCTTCCCTCTGAAACTTGTATCCAGCTCTGTCAAGTATATTTGTTATTTGCTTTATGGCACCCCATACAATGGTGTTGCAGTTTGTAACTGATGTTTCTCAAAATTATGGCTCTGAGAAGGCATAATTTCTTGAGATCAGGCCTGACATACATTATAATAATGATGAGATGAAGGTCTTCTTTTGATCCCACCCAAGAGCCAAGTTGGGTTGAAGTTTTCTACCTGAAAGGTGTTTTGAAGTCTACTTTAGGATTTATTTATGTATTACTCTCCCTTCCTCTGTATTGCAATAATATAAAGATGTTTTAATGTTAGGTGGATGAGTGCAGAGTTTCTGGGGCTTGCTTGTTTATAGTGCTGGTGCATCTGCTTGCCTAGGAAATGTTGTATGCTCCCAGTGCTATTACCATTAGGTTCATGCATAGTAGACACATCTGTGTTTTTCACTGTGCTGATGCTTCAGTTACGGTGATTCTTGTAAAAACTGGATGGGCAACACGTTTTGGAGTTGTTCAACTCTCCGTAGTTGTTCTTGATTTACTTTATGAAGCTTTCTTCTTTCTTCCACAGTCTGTCAAGGTACAAATAACAAGTTGACCCAGCTGGGGCACGTGGAAGACCATTTCACCAGCCTGCAGAGAATGTACAACAACTGTGAAGTGGTGCTGAGTAACCTGGAGATTACCTATGTGGAACATAACCGTGATCTCTCCTTCCTTAAGGTTAGTGGTTTCGGCCAACATGGCTTATCTTGATAAAGGAATCTTACTGCATTTCTGAGTGCAAAGGATCATCTAGCTATCTATAAAATGCTGTAGTGATCCAAAAACAATAATTGTCAGAGATATTGCAAATCACAGTCACAGCATGTCTGGAGGCTGCAGATTATGCTCAGCCCAATTACACAAAATCATTTACTTTGAGAAGTAGCTTCTCAAGTGTTGACCCGACCTATTTTGGTTGCCATGCAGATGGGTTTGTAATTTGCAAAAATCATCACATGCTTACCCTTTGTCTCCCTCTGAGAGGGCAGAAGGCTTTGTTATATGATTGGGCAAAACAAATGGCAAAGTGAGTGGCAATCACTGATTACAGACTGATGTGTGGAGGCCGTTACCCTTTTCCACAATCTGTGATCCATTTCCACACATGATGGTGAGTGCCTCACCATCTATCAGCACCCGTATCCTCAGGAAGCAGGCAGCTGCATTCTGCACCAGCTGTGTGCTTTTTGTGACCTTCAAGGTAATCCTCTGCACTTAACACACAGACTATTCCCATCACAGCATTTGTTCTGTGCACAACTGCATAAGCTACCACAGCCAACTGGGAAGAGAGCAGATAGGATGGATGTTAAAATACAGCCAGATCATGAGGAGGAGAAGTCTGTCACTGGCACCTCCAGGTTCCCCACCAACAGACACTGGGTAGAGGGTACAGTTCTGCTCCCATCTGTCAGAATGCACCAATGGCAGCAGCACTGCACATTAGGGTCTGTGTTTTTAAAGAAGTTTTAATTGCTTTGCTTTTGGCATCCCTGGTATGTCAGATTAGGAGGTTTACAAAGAAAAAGGCGGGAGGAGAAAATATGTGTTTTACATGAAAAATCTGTATCTGGTACCAAGAACTTTTCTATGATGGATCTGAATAAGCAGGTCAGTCATCTGAGTTTAGAGAAATTTTCACGAGCTTTCCTCCTCAGAGAACAAAGAAAGGGAAAAACATTGCAGTAGCAAGCATGAACATCAGAAAATAGTTGTTTCGGACATACAGGTTGTAAATATGATGGTATTGCCATTTTTCTTTCCAAGCACTGCTTGACCATGAAGATCATTGTCTCCAGGAACATAACAAGTCTTCTGAAAACTCACTGATAGACTTCATAGAAGAGAAGAAGTAGCCTGAGGGCTTTTTCATTTGCAGGGATTTTTTTTTAGAAGATAGAAATGCACACATTTCACAGTACAAGACACAAAATAATCTACTTCCATGGACAGTGCCTCACTTGTCTTGTTGTCCTGTAAATATCTATCGCTTGAGAGGTGATTGCCTGATCCTCCCCTCTGTTGAGCTGATTAGGGAAGAGGCATAGAAGATAAAGTATAAGACTTAATCGGGAGAAGTGTCTGTGCTGCAAATGGTTGAAGGTAAATATTCAGAGGAAGCATCATACACAGTTAGCATATCATATGTGCTTGCCCTCTTCTCCTGCATCCTCTAAGTATGCCCACTTGCCCTTGCTTGAGAACAGGATACAGGTAGTGACCACCTGGTAGCTACTTTTAGGGTCATTTTATACCTGCTTAGCACAGTCAATTGAATGCAAAATACAAACATGAAGATGCATTTCCTTGGCTCCGTTTTTCATATAATCCCTTCTTGTTCTCCAATTTATTTAGTTCTTATGAGACTGGCTTTTTGTTCATTAAAATTCAAAGATTGTATTGGGGGAGTGGGAGAAGGAAAGTAACCTTGTCAAGGGGATGAAAGATGGTTTATAATTACTGTGGATTAAGTGCCTTGTTTCTTCTCTCAGACCATACAGGAGGTTGCAGGCTATGTGCTCATTGCACTTAACATGGTGGACGTTATTCCCTTAGAAAACCTCCAGATTATCCGAGGGAACGTGCTTTACGACAACTCTTTCGCCCTGGCAGTTTTATCCAATTACCACATGAATAAAACCCAGGGACTTCGAGAGCTGCCAATGAAACGGTTATCAGGTGAGACCAGGGCAAAAGGTGGAGGCACCCACAAGTAAACTTCGACCATTAAATTATTGATATCAAGACCAAATTGAAGATCTTCTCTCAAAGTCAATGCTTCAAAAACTGGATGTAGTTTCCCATTTTTCTATTCGCTTTCCAGCTGTACAGCCTTTTTCAGAACATGAAGAAAGTTTATAATTTGCCATTACAAAAGGACACAAAGTTCAAAGCATCAATACGATGCTGAAATTTATTTGTATCCCCAAAATGAAAAAGAATCATCCACGTCTTACTTTTGATTTTTTTTTATTCTAATGTGTGTGATTAGCTATTTTCTGTTAATTTCCAGTGGGAGTTGGTGGCATGTGAAGAGCTGCAGAGTTAGGGTCTCGTACGGTCTCTGGCTGATGGGTCAGGCTATGCAAACCATCAGTGCTAATATATGCCTAATTCACCCTCTATCAGAGATCACAACCACTGTATTGGAGGCACTGTAGTGAATGGCAGAAAAGGCCATATGCCCAGTCTTCTGCCATACTGATTTATTACAGACTTTGTAGCATCACACATTGAAAAGAAGTGTTTGCATGAGGAAACTGAATCATGAGCTGAAGCAAGTAAAAACACATTACCTTCTGCTATGTCTGCCAAGGTCCTCTGGATGTGGCACTGGGTGAAAAGCTATGTGTAGTGGCTTCTCAATCGCAACCAACAGCAGGTAACCCTCCAGAACCTGTCAGTCTGAGCCTGGGGTTAGTTGCACTTCAGATGTGCCTGTGCTGTGCAGATTGTCAGCATAGTGTGACTGAAATAAAGAAATCTGAGTTTTGTTCCCCTTTCTTTAAATCAGAGAGAGAGAGAGAGAGAGGGAGAAGACTTAAGAAAGGTGCTTCACTCATTAGTGTTTTTCCTTCCTTGGCAGAAATTCTCAATGGAGGTGTTAAAATCAGCAACAACCCCAAACTGTGCAACATGGACACTGTTCTGTGGAATGACATCATTGATACAAGCAGGAAGCCTCTCACAGTACTTGACTTTGCAAGCAATCTTTCTTCTTGTAAGTATTAATTTACCAAAATGCTATGAGCTTCCTCACTTCAGAGAGAAGAGCCAGCAACCAAACTCTCAGCTTTGGTTTTCATATCCACTAGTTCTTATACACAGGGCCATCAAACCGGGTTCTGAGGGAAATCCATTCAGTTCTTCATCATTGACATGAGATTTAATGTTTTGTCATGTCTGGGTCCTTAACTCATAGCTCAAAGACATTTTTATTGATTTTATGCAGTACCTTACGAATGCTTTTCTTCAAAGATAGCCACACAACTGAGAATAACATGCACTTGCATGTTTTCCAGCAGTCTTTAAAGTTAAAGCACCTTCACATTTTTGCAGTAAGGCACAATTTTCTATCAAGAATGCTGTAAAAAGACTCCTATGTGTTGTGATGCATGAATAATCCTTGAAAAATGTCATGATAAGAGGTAAATAAATCTCATGCAAGGAGATATGCATATTTTTAAAAGTTTGTGTAGTATATGCCTAAGGTAGACTCAAGCTAATCACAGAATCACATAATATCAGGGATTGGAAGGGATCTTGAAAGATACCGTGTCCAATCCCCCTGTCGGATTAGGAACACCTAGATCAGATCACACAGGAACGAGGCCAGGTGGGTTTTGAATGTCTCCAGAAAAGGAGACCCCACACCCTCTCTGGGCAGCCTATTCCAGTTCTGTCATCCTCTCTGTAAAGAAGTTTTTTCTCATATTTATGTGGAACCTCCTGTATTCCAACTTGCACCCATTCCCCCTTGTCCTATCACTGGATGTCACTGAGGAGAGCCTGGATCCTTGAGCCTTGTGAATTCTTGTGAAATCCCCTGTTACTTCAAGGAAAGAAGTTTATTTTCACTTCTGAGCGTTTCATTTCTGGCACTGTAAACTGGCGGGAAACATATTTTCTTTATCTTTTAGTTGTGTAATCGACAACTTCTGTGTTGACATATTTGCTGCAGAGCCCGAATGTAACCTAGCATTGCTGCAAACAGTACAAGTCAGCACAGGAGCCTGGCTCTGAATATCATGGAACGTTAACCTTTAACTTTTTAACTTTGAAAAAAACATAGTTCTTCAGTCCCTGAGCAAATCAGTCGATTCCTGGACAAGTACTGACATTTGTTCAGCTATGTGATCAGCAGTGAACAGGGGGGAGGATCTCATGCTACTAGCAGGATTACTCTAATATGACATGTCTCTTCAGTGTAGTAAATTCCAGATTAATCTGCGTAGATGGCCACTTATGGTCAATGGTGATAGTGATCCTGTGATCTAAAATAAGTTATTTCTCTGGGACATTGCTTGACAATGAAAGAAAAAAAAAAAAAAAAAAAAAAAAAAAAAAAGAGTACACACAGCAGGAAGAGGAAGGAAGGCGGATAAGAAAGGGATGTTTAGCAGGAAGAACCCAGTGCTGAACATTGAAGATGTACATCCATCCCCATGCCTCTCCAGTGACTGCTGGATAGACCCATGCTGAGGGATGTTTTTGGTTGAGAGCAGGAGGAGAGCATGGTTCAGACAAGTCAAATTGTTTTGTGGTAGGAATAGCTGGCAGTTACCTGTGAATCCAGTTGGTTTTGTTTTCTTCTTAGAAACATGTTGTTCAGAAATATTAATTTCCACATGGCCTGCAGCAAGCATCTGTCTCATGCCCAAATGAAGGCCAGTAGTGACTTGCAGCTTTATGCAAATCCAAGCCTGAGAGCCAGAAGGACAGTTGCTGAAATTCCTGTACCTGGGAAAAATACTCCTCTTTTGTCTGCCAGATCAGCAGAGTATTGCACTCGCTTGCTATGAGGTGTGTAGTACTGCACATAGGAAACCAGCTATGAACAACAGACAAGGATTTTAATTCCAGCATTCAAAATTTCTGAGCAACAGTATACATATGCTTCCTCCTGTGATTTATTGAGAGTGAAGGCTCAAGGTTTTGTTTCCTGTGACATATATGGTGTTGTCATCCAGAGTTTAAACAGCAAATGTTTTTATAATACTCCACTCTTATGTTTTAGGTCCAAAATGCCATCCGAACTGCACAGAAGACCACTGCTGGGGTGCTGGTGAACAGAACTGCCAGACTTGTAAGCATGCAGATTAATTGGGAATGATCTTGGATGCTACACTCTGACATAGTAATCTTCTGTCTACTGAATAATTTACCTGCCAATTGAGCGCTAGCAGCATGAGTTTTACACTTGTCCTTTCTTCGTCCTCCTATGCTCGTACTCCTTGAAGCACAACACATGGCTTGCTTCTCCTCACAGTCTTAGTAGGCATGACAAGTGGCAGTGGGTCTGAAAGAAGTCTGCATCACACATGTGCACATATGGGCTTCCTGCTCTGAAAAAAACTCAGTCACAAGGATCATTGAATCACAGAATGATTTGGATTGAAGGTCATCTGGTCAAAACCCTCTGCCCCAGCAGGGAGAACTTACTTAAATCTGACCGTGTTGCTCAAAGCGCTATCCAGCTCCACTTTGAACAGCAACAAGTTTGTTTTATAGACACAGGCAGTGTCGTCGTCATATGGGCAATAGCACTACAGATTGTATCAGAGGACCTTTTGGACACTCAGTCATTTCTTAGTTTGTAAATTTAGATACTTGGGATTGTGAGGCTGTTCAGTTTTGTTGCATATGCTTTAATGTAAAGTTTTGAAGGTAGTCTGTTCTCCTGAAATTACAAGCAATCAGAGTTGCTTAAGATTTTGCAAGACTTTATTTCTCCTAAAGTGGAGATTGAGGAGGAAAGTTTTCTTTATACTTCATTATTTCCTTTTTCCATAATAAGTGGGGGAAAACACTGTTTCTGATTCCTCTTGCTTGCCAGTTTTGCATAACCATGTAAAGCTCAATGGAAAGTTTGCTATACTTACACAAACGAATGCAACATTTTCCATTGTAAATAATGACTTAAACCTAAGTGTCATGCTTGTAAGTGTCAGACCAAGTTTGTACAGCTTCTACAGCCTACAGAAAAATAAATGTAAAGCCTTTCTCTCTTATTTTGCTGCAAGCTTGGTTTTTTTCTTGTGCCGTTGCCAAGCTCACCAAGTTGCTCTCAAAGACAGTGATGCAGTATCCCTACTGCTAAGACAGAATAGCTGTTCCAGGGGCTTGCAAAACATCAAATCTCAATCCTGCAGACTTCCAGTATTTACAAACACGTGCTGGCTTCAGGAGGGTTATGTGGAGTACGTAAAATGAAACCATTTGCAGGCTTTGGCTCTACTCTTGAAGCATTTGAGAATCTGAGCAGCTGAAAATGTATCCCACATTTTATCATGTGGGGACGTTTGGTCTGATATGTCTTTCCCCTTAGATGAATGTGGGATGTTCTGAACGAAATATAAATGTTTGCCATGATACATGTTTCCAGCAGGAAGCTTCAGTCAATAGCTATCAAAGTGATGAGCTGTTTTATTCCTATGCTGATGCTTGTGAAAATTTGTATCAGAATGCTGTCCATGTTGAACAATGTACCTTTTTTTCCCTTGTTTCTGTTCAAACGGAGGAGTTGCTGCCAGAGAAGCTAATATGTATTGTGGAAATCATGTGTTTCCATGAAAAGACAGTATGTTGCTTACAAGATACAAGAAAAATGGATAATGGAAAAAATATAGTATGGTTTAGGAAAAAAAAAAGTCATGGTTGTGTACCTGTATCAGGTTGCATTCTCTGATAACTCTCTGTTAGTTAACAACCATCTGTTTCTGACTTATAGGATTTCCTGGTGGTGTTGTAACTCATTTCTGCCCAGCTGGGAAGCTGGTAGCAGTTACTGCACTGTACAGGTGCTCAGGGTGCTGTGGTGAAGCACACTAGCAATCCCCCACTTTCTCTGTTGGGGACTCAGTCCCCTATTGCCTGAGTCTGCTGATCAGTGATTTTATTGTAGGGAAAAAGCAGACCAGTTTTGTCCCATGGTACTAACATACACTATCCATTAATTTCTGCATTCTGTGGTTGTGCTTTTTAAAATTATTTTTATGATTACTATTCTATCTGCTTTGACATTCAAATTGAGATTATATCTGGAGCTAAAAAATTATTGCAGGCAGTTTTTCCTCTCCTGTTAAAAGCTGACCCAGAATTAGCTTTTCCTTTGGGTTACATTGGTGCAAACCCTGAGGAAGTTGAGTAATGAAGATAAAATTTGGCCAAGAAATTGAAGCTTAAAGAAAATAATATTCTATGCATATGAGATCAGTTTACTGAGTGGATGTCCCCTCTCTCTGCAAATTTCAGAAATATTTTTAGTCATCAAAGGAATCCTAAGACCGCACCAATGATACATAATTTCCCACTATAACCCAGAGTTCTGGTAGTTCTCCTGTCCTGTTGTTTTTCCCAAAGCTAGCACCAGTAGCAGCAGGCTACCTCAATAAAGCAGAGCCAAGCTGAAAGTTGCATGACTCCATCGAGTTATTTTTGATTCAGACGTTGATACCAAAGGGGCCTGGATGCTCTTTCTAAGCAGGACATGATTTGCTGGCCCAGACCAGAGTGCTTTGCACCCCACAAGAGCTGTATACATCCTCTTTCTGCCACCAACCACACCAGCTCTCACCTTTCCTAGCTTTTGCCTGATCTGTGGGCAGAACATGGGTAAACTAGTGCAGATACTGCATCAGATAGCTGTTCCTCATTTATTGATCTCATTACAGCCTAAACATTCCTCATTTCTGTTCTTTTTCTTTTTTTTTTACTTATTTTTTTCTTTCAGTAACAAAAGTCATCTGTGCCCAGCAATGCTCTGGCCGGTGCAGAGGAAAGGTGCCCAGTGACTGCTGCCACAACCAGTGTGCTGCAGGGTGCACGGGACCTCGGGAGAGCGACTGCCTGGTAAGGATGCTGCAGTTTCACCAATGCTTAAAACCCTAAACAGAGGGGCAGGCAGGCAGCTGAATGTCCTGCAACCTTCTTCCATCTGAGGAAGCGTCTGAGATATAATGACCCATAGGTTGCCCTCTTGGAATGGGAGCAAGCCTTCCCTGAAACAGGCAGGGAAGAGGACACAAACCTTGCAACACTGGTCTTTAGTAACAGAGTTTCCCTGTCTGATTCTCAGTTGCTGCAAACTTTGGGGGACCCTGGTGCTGTGGATGGGAAAAGGGCAAATCCAACTTTATTAGGAATAAAAAATGTTGTTGCCTTTCTACAAGAGTTTTCAGGGGTTAATACATGCTGTGTTTTTAACTTGTCCCTGGCTTTGTACTAAATTTAATTCTGAATTAAGTGATGCTCACGTAATTCCCACAGCAACTGTCCAGTCAGTGTTTTGTAGCTGTTATCTGTATTCTGGCCACCCTGAGAAACTGCATAGCGAGGATGCTCTTACTGGCTTACAAAGAAGAGTTATTCTGTCTCATCTGGAAAACCAGAGACAAATAAAGGGGAAAAGGGAATGATTATTAATTTAATGCTGGATTGGGTTGGAAGAACCAACTTATCCTTCAGAAGAGCTTCTAAGTTGTTCATTACCTGCAGCCAAATAGAATGGCTTCCTTTTAATATTCAGCCACAAAAGTCAGTAATTGGCAGGAAAGAACTTGATTTGATTGAGGTTATTAAAAAGTGGCTGGCCAAGAAAAGTACTGTTTGTCTTGATCTGGTTACTGCTTGTAGGGAAAATTTCATCTGAGGCATGCAGATTTGCCCATGTTCCCACGTGAATCCCAGCAGTTCTTCTCCAGAGTGCCAAGTTTTCTTGTTCAGAACAAGAAAACCTTACATTTGTTCTTTTTTTTTTTTTTTTTCCAAATATCATACTAAATTGCCCAACCTGAAGCAATCTTTCACTTCCTAAGCACTAGGGACCAGCCCTGTAGATGCTCAGGATTCCCATAAGAGCTAAGTGAGAAGCAGCACAGCTCACAGAAGTGTTTTTAAACAGCTAATGTAAAGACCTTGTAACTTTTTAATGGGTGCTGTTGTTTGACAACAGGCATGCCGCAAGTTTCGGGATGATGCTACCTGCAAGGACACATGTCCCCCACTGGTCCTCTATAACCCCACCACCTACCAAATGGATGTCAACCCTGAGGGAAAATACAGCTTTGGAGCCACTTGTGTGAGGGAATGCCCACGTAAGTTCATTTCAGCTTGCAGACAAAGAGAAGGCTCAAGGAGTGAGAAGGGACCTGTGTCACCCTCTGCATTACAGCCCAGCACATTCTTATTCTCTTCATTTCCTCTGGGAACTGAGAACAGGTGACAAGAGTCAGAGAATGGCTTATGAAGACAAACAGCCTTTTAAATCTTTCTGAATCTGTCAACTTCCCCAATTATTAGCAGTTACATTTTGACTTCTGAGGATTTTTTCTTAATGGAGAGAAAAGCATCTTAATAGAATCATCAACTCAATGGCCAGAGAAGACATATGGGATCAATCCTGTGGATTACTGACACAGTATCAATTCTTAACCAGTTCTTATTTAGTACAGATGGAAAGTCATTGGTTTAAACACTCTCTGTGAAGTCCTGTGATCATTGCTTCCTTTACAGATGCTTTCTTTCTTTCAAGGTTTTCCATGACCATGGTCTTTTTGACAGACAAGACTTAAGTGTAACAGAGGGTTCAGCATATAAACCTGGTATCCTTTTCTGAGGTTCATCATTGCCCTTAGCCTGGGAGGATGTGTGAAAGTGAGGGGTCAAAAGGGCTGTGTACTGATTCAGATAACAACACTGCTGCAGTCTGTCTTTTGCAATGTTGTTTCACTCTTCTGTGACCATGCTCCTCTGTTACAAAATGGTAATAGCACTCTATGTTTGTCTATGTTCAAAGGATGTGAAAATTAATAATTAATGTCTGTGTTTCATGCATGGCCAAAGTTCAAAAAAACTTATTTTTCCTAGTATTGAAGTGCCTGTATCGGCCCCAGTACATCTCTCTTGTTTTTCAGTGTTCTCTGTCATCATTGTTTTTCCAGACAACTATGTGGTGACAGATCATGGCTCCTGCGTTCGCTCATGCAATACTGATACTTACGAGGTGGAAGAAAACGGCGTTCGAAAGTGTAAAAAATGTGATGGGCTGTGCAGCAAAGGTATAAAAAGCATGGTTGTGGAACAGTAAGGCTTTGAGATGATAGATGATTTATTAGAATAAATAGATGGAGTTCTGAACTGGATTGAGCCTCAAAGTGCAAATTCAATACACATACACACTGCTAGTTTGAAGTTTTGACAGGCTGTTTTCTCAGGAAGCATGGCAGCAGAGCATGCTTCAGCTGAGATATGCTGCAAGTACACTTACACAGATAAACTGCACTTAATGTGTATCCTACACATCAGCATCCTTTATTTATCCTTCTCAGTGTCTCAGCAACAGGAATAAAATGAAAATGGGACAAAGGGCATGTGTCAGAATGTGTGTGCGGAGATGCTAGGGCCAGGGCTGCACAGGTGTGCAAAAGAGAAGTGTTTTTCCTTTGGTGATTTCTGAAAAGCAACATTAGGCTTATTTATTTTATTTAATTATTTATTTATTTTATATATGAATATTTATTTATTTATTTGTTTGTTTGTTTGTTTGTTTATTTAAATTAGGATTTATGAAACTGATCTTACAGTGATAGAATTGACCAAGCTTTTTGAACAGCAGTATTTTTGTATGTGTTTCCTTACATGTGATGATGCTTCTCTCTTCTCTACCAAACTTTTGTGTCCCTATTTTAACAGTGTGCAATGGCATTGGAATAGGTGAACTTAAAGGGATCCTATCCATAAACGCCACAAACATCGACTCCTTCAAAAATTGTACAAAGATCAATGGGGATGTCAGCATTCTTCCTGTTGCGTTTCTAGGGTGAGTTGCCTGCTGGTCACTAAGGACTGGAAGAGAGGGACTAGGGAGAAAGTCGGGTTGATTCATTCTTCTCCCAATACCTCCTTCTGTTTGTTGCAGGGATGCCTTCACAAAGACACTACCCCTTGACCCTAAGAAGCTGGATGTCTTCAGAACAGTCAAAGAAATATCAGGTCAGTGACATGGGTCAAGCATGAGATATTATCTGAGTGGTACTGCCAAAAACCTAAAGCAAGAAGAAAGTTCTCAAAGTTTGTGAGCGGAAGAGCAGGCAAATGGTTTCTGTCCCTGAGCTTGCAGGGTCACTGCTCATACTGGAGGTCAGCAGCATCTTGCCAATGTTACACCTACCCTGCCTCCCATCCAAGGTGTATGGTTTTTCCAGATCATCCCTCCTGCTGAATTGTCAGCCCTACTAAGGACTAAAAGTAGAAGCAATTCTCAGCTACCCAAGAAGTGGGTGGTGATTCAGGGGCGTGCCACTCTATCTGAAAATAGCCAAGTGTTTCTATTTGTGGAAAACCTTTCTGCAGCTCCTTAGGGAACCATGCTCACTCTCTTGCATCATCCTCATGGAGACACTCTCCCCAGCCCAAAGAGCCCTGCTTGGATGGCCAAGAGCACAAAGTATGAGAGTGCTTGACTGTGATCTTGCACAGGCATCAACTTGAAAGTAATTTTGTTCATCCAGTTATAAAACAAATGTACTGTCAGAGCCCATGGATATGACTCCAGGTCCACTTCTCTTTATCTCTTTTACCTGTCTTTTTGCCTTCCGGGTAGCAGTGACTAACCTCAGAGTTTCATACATCTGTGTGCTATTTCCCAAATTCTTTCCCTTCTCCAGAGTACCACACCTGAGCAGAGAAATTTGCTTGTTATAACAAATGCACTCTGAGCAGCTGACTGTTCTGTGCTGTTCCTGCTTTATGCCTACTTTTTCTCTTACCGAAGGGCAGCTCACAAAGGGGACAATACCTCCTCATGCTGCAGGGAAGCCCACAGCCCCTCAAGCAGGGTACTCTTGTATTAAGAGTCATCACTGGCAGCTCAGCATGGCAGATGCTCAGCCCCTGACACACTGTTCTCTGGTGCTCCTGAGCCTTGTGGTGGGCTGAAAAGTAAACAGTTTACAAAGCAGTGTTTACAAATATCCCTAACATGTCATGTTTAATTTTGAGATTCTCAAAAGAGCACATGGAAAGTGCAAGTGCCTTCTCCTGGCAGAAGAGAATCTCAAGAAGGACATTTTCACCTCCAGTACTGACTGTGTTTGCATTATTATTATTTTTTTTAATCTTCTTTTCTTCATTTCAGGATTTCTGTTAATTCAGGCCTGGCCTGATAATGCTACTGATCTCTATGCTTTTGAAAATCTGGAGATTATCCGAGGCCGAACCAAGCAGCAGTAAGTAAATGACGTGCCAGGATGCCTGTAAAAGGAGCTCTGTTGGGAGATGCATTTCTCTGAACATACCAGGGTGCCTAGCACCGGGATATATGGGTGTCACAAAACTCATGCAAAACAGGAAATAGCCTGAAAGGTACTGAGCACCATTTTAGTAGCAGTAGAGTAAGATCAAACCTGCAACTCTGTACTGTTGTTAGAGTCTGCATCCAGTACCCACTTGAGCTTGCTCTGAGAGGAAGAATAGCTTTGTGGACCAGCACAAAATAGCTTCTCTGCTTACTGCTATCCTTACACGTCATTCATTTGATGGAGTGCATGTTTCCTGCCAAGATTGAGTTTAAAATTCCCACTAGAAAAAATTGATTACACAGCAATACTTACCAAAAGATTGTTTCTCCAAGTGCAACCCTGTTTACTAATTCTCTTTTTTCTGTGTCTTCTTTTTGTCCATCTTCATTTCAGTGGCCAGTATTCCCTTGCTGTTGTTAACTTGAAAATACAGTCCTTGGGGCTGCGCTCCCTCAAGGAAATAAGTGATGGAGACATTGCCATTATGAAGAACAAGAACCTCTGCTACGCTGACACCATGAACTGGCGCAGCTTGTTTGCTACTCAGAGTCAAAAAACAAAAATAATACAGAACAGAAATAAAAATGATTGTAGTAAGTCAGTCTGCTTTCCTGCCCTCGTAAAACCTCGTAATGAAATGGAAGAGTAATTTGATGTAAAATTCATCAGTGATGCTGCTTTATTGAAGACAGTGAGGGGAAAGGGGAGTTGGTCCCACAGGGGATGTGGGCTTCATGGCGATCGTACATCCTGTTATGGACATAGTGAAGGACAGAGAAGCCAGCTGTAGACATCAGGCTTGTTTGATAAAGTTAGTCACTCAGCAGTGGTTTCTGGGCCAAAATCTATTTATTTCTCTTAACATGAATGTGAATTTGCTACATATCAGAAATGTGTCTCCTCTGGTATTGGTTTTGCTTTACTGTAGGTCTGGTACATGTTCACAATGGATTTCATTTTAATTTTGAAAGGCCAGAATTTGCTCCAAAAATAAAGGCCAGAAGTCAAGTTTTGGGAATTAGGAAAATTGTGATTATTCCTCTTCTACTATGGTCATTCGTGTCTGCTTTGGAGTGGTTTGAAAAAAATTGATTGTCAGGATGGAGTCATTTGCCATGCTGTATCTGCCCTTTCTCTTGCCCTAAAGTTCATGGCTTCTCTTTTCTCAGCTGCTGACAGGCATGTGTGTGACCCGCTGTGCTCGGACGTGGGCTGCTGGGGCCCAGGGCCCTTCCACTGCTTTTCCTGCAGGTTTTTCAGTCGCCAGAAGGAGTGTGTGAAACAGTGCAACATCCTGCAAGGGTAAGGGGCCTGAGGGCCCTTGGGGGTTTTGTTTTTAGAATGCATGTGGCTAGAAAGTGAGCAAGACATAGGGTCTTTGGATTTCAGTGGGTTGGCAGAGGTGTTAGCCTGAGCACTATACTTCCCCCCCCCCCCAATAAATAAATAAATAAATAAATAAATAAATAAATAAATAAAAATTCAGGGATCTTTTTCGGGCATGGGGAAAAATTCAGGCCCAGTTCTCAGCATTGGTCATACCCACTGCTCCTGAGCATCAGGCCTGCTGGGAAGCTATCAAGGAGGTTAAGCATTACCTTTCCTTCCCAAATGGTATAAAGGAATTTAAATCCCCATTCTGTGCCTGTCATGTTTAACACATCAGGGAAGAGTCAGAGATAGCTGTCATCATCAACCGCAGAGGCAGCTGTAGAAACACAGCCACTCCCCGTAGGCTTCCTTGCTGCAAAGGCTCTCCTTGTTATACTCAACATGTTGGATTTGCTGAACTGCAGCATGTTTCATAAGATCAGAGGGTACCTGGTGTGCTCAGGGGCTGTTACTGAAAGGACAGGGGGATCCTGCTCAGTAGCCTGGTTAGTAACTTGCCCCTCCAATGTGCAGTGCTGCAGTTAAGGGAAAAATAGGCTTCATCTGCAGAGCACTGGATGTAGTAATTTGAGGCAAAATATTGCTTCAGTTTTTCACAGGTCGAGGAAGGCATACCAGTGCCTTTGTATCAGGGCTGTGGCTGGTTTTTTCCAGTCAGTTTAGCAGATGATGTAAGCAGGGAAAGCATGGCTAGCACCACAAAAAAATGCTGATTTTCAGTAATGTGCAAATGACTAATGCTTTGCCATCCACAAATTTGTTGGTGTAAACACCTCTGCCTTTTTTTCTTACTAAAATCTTTAGTGCTAAACATGAACTTGACTGGATGCTCATGCCCATGATGATTTGTCTATCAACTTGTCATTCAGCAGCTGTCTTTTTCATAAGTGAATTCCCTCCAGCAGCTTTTATGATCTGAAGGGCAGATCTGGGCATTTTTTTGTGTCCTATGATGTGTAGATGTAGTTTAATTAATAACTCTGTTACTTGAAGTAGAACAGCTTTATTGCTATTGAAACCATCTGCTCCCAACTTTCATATTTTAGTGATTAATTATGTGTTGTAGGGAGGGCATGAGTTTAATCATCAGAGCATTGCTGCTTAACTTTCCTAATTATTATTTGGAGCTTTAGAAACACTTGAAATTATTTTGCTGATATCTTTGCATCACTACCATTTAAAAGCCTCTGGAAATCTTTGAGAATATTCTGTGTCATTAGCTTAAAATGGAAAGTAAACTGATTGGTAGTGTGTGGCCTGGAGTGCTATTTATTCCACTGCCATCCAAATTTCCCTTTCCCTTACTTCTCTGTTGAGCTGAGAAAGTGCCCCTGGTGTGCTGACGTCAGACAAGACATCAGACACCTCCTCCTGTATCAGGACAATCATCCCTATGGATTCAAGCTGGGAAAGACAGGAGGTGGAGAGACGAACAAATTTTAATCCTCACTAATTAGCGCGGGCTTTATTATTTCTCTTTTTTCTTTTATTCCAGGGAGCCACGTGAGTTTGAAAGGGACTCCAAATGCCTCCCCTGCCACTCGGAGTGTCTGGTACAGAACTCCACTGCATACAACGCAACTTGCACTGGACCTGTAAGGATAGACCTGGCTTAGCAAACCAGTACCTTGGGCTGTAGTTTAGTATAATGGGATGATCTTGAGTTCCCATTTATCCTTTGCCACAATCAGGCAGATGTGGGGGAGAGGGGAAAAAACAGAGAGGAAGATCTGTTTGTTGGTGGAGAAAAAAAAAAAGGAGAGAGAACTTTAGGATGTGTTTTTCCCCCATCACATGTGTTATCTACATAGCCTCATAGTCACAGGCATTGTGGGGTCTTTCTTGTGTCTTTGTGGAAAAAAACACACACAAAGAAAACATAGGTGAAGATATACTAATTTGGAGATGTGTAATTATTGAACAGCCTAGTTAGCATGAACAAATTACACTTCTTTGGTTACAGGAAAAGAGTTGTTAAAATAGTGGATTAATACAGTAGCTTGAAAAGACCTGTTAAAATTGAGATTTAGAAAGTGCTTACTGAAAAATGCCCAGGATACAGTTTTTACTTAAAACTGTTTTTAACTAACTAGATTAAAGTTTATAGCCAATGTTAAAGTAGTTCTAGGCATAAAGTATGATAAAAGAAAAGCAATCAAAACAAAATGATTGGATTTTCTTACTTTATACAGTTATATATGTGTTCATATTTACACAAAATACTTTTACAAAAGTCAGAACAGTGCAGTCTTGCCAGTCAGTCCTGAATCTTTCTTGGTGTTTTTTATATAATTTTTCTTTAATTTTTAGAATACACTTACGTCTTATGAAATGTTCAGTTTGGCAGCTGTGAAAAATAATTTGATTTTAATCAGATAAAATTCATGTCTTAATGATAAACCTATAATTCTCCTTAATCTTCTTCTGTCTCAATGAACCTTTCTCACTAATTGAAATCAAACCACCTGCATCTTCAGAACATCTCTTGCCTAACCCTAATCTACAGCCTCTGTATTTGACCCTTGCCCATCAGTCTGAGGAGCAACTGCTCAGCAATGTGAACTATTTCCATCCTCCCTCCCACTTCAGACCACCATGGCCTAAGGGATGCCATTAACATTATAAACTACTTCAGGAGGTGGCCACCCCTTGTTCCATATTTCCCAGCATCTAGTAATTAGTCAATTATATTAGCCTTTAAATATTACAGTAATTAAAATAATGTTCACGTAGCATGTCTTACTGTAGTTCCTCTGAAACAAACAGTGCAGATCTGGTATGGGTTTTCTTTTCTGTAGAATTTGATCCAGAATTACTTGTTTAAAATACTTGATTTAAAATACTTACAGCATTCCAGGTGCTGTCACAGTCTGAGTAAAAACAGTTCTGCCAAAAATGGCCAGGGGCATTGCCTTTATACGCAAATGAAATGCTATTCAAAGTAGAAAATGCATAGCATCCTTGGGTAGTTTCCATTTCCTGTGCTTCTCAACACAGAGAAACCAGAGAAATAATGATTTGGGGCCAGTACTTCAGAGAGAGATAAGCAGAGCCAGCCATCATTTTAAATCATGTGATGGTAGATTGCAGCAGGAAATAGCTTGGCCTTCTGCTTTTCAATGTCCCCCTTAATGGGATGTCATTAAAATTATTCCCCATTTTAAACAAAAAATGTGAGCTTTCCCATCGGGCAGAGGGCAGAAAAAAAGAGCAGCAGGAACCATGCAGCAACAATTCCAACTTGATGAGGCATTAGCTTTAAACACCAGGTATTGCCCTTTGTACAGTCCATCCTACAAGAGCAAAAACTTGTAAGCATTTCAGGTAGCAAGATAATGAAATCACAAAATGCTGAAAATGTTCCACAGTTGAATGCACAGATATTTATGTTCTGCGTTCCTTCCTGAAGTATAAGGAGTGTAGGGAAATCATAGATGAGTTGTTTCTTTTCTTCTTTGCAGGGCCCGGACCACTGTGTGAAGTGTGCCCATTTTATAGATGGTCCCCACTGTGTGAAGACCTGCCCCGCAGGGGTGCTGGGTGAGAATGATACCCTCGTCTGGAAGTATGCAGATGCCAATGCTGTTTGCCATCTCTGCCATCCAAACTGTACACGAGGGTGAGTAAAACCTTGTTCTGAATGGAGAGGAAGAAGTGAAAAGCGGAACGGCTTGTTTCAGGCTTTCTCCCTTCCTGACTAGTCCCATTTCAAAACACCAAGAACAAAAAATAGCAGGAAGTGAAAGAGGTCAGGCATGCACAGGTAATGTAAGCAAAGTGCAGTGGACTTTGTAAATAGGAAAAGTTCAGTTGTACTTCTTTACACAGAAGGATCTAGGTCATTTAAAACAAGATTGTTTGCTTACTTTCTGGTATTTTACAGAGTTTTCCCACTAGAGGTGCACTTTTTTTTCCACCTGGCTGGGCACAAGGTCCTCTGCTTTTGGGAGGAGCATCAGTGACATCTGGTGGATGCTGAGCTCCTGGGGCACATTTTTCCCTGAAACTTTGATTTTTTAGGAGGGAAATTCCAGTGGGTGTGCCACAGTGATTTTCTTCCCCTTTTCCTTTCCACATCCTTGCACATCCCAGAGTTCTTCTCCCCTGTTTCTCTTGTGACTGCTTGGCGATTTTGTACACCAGCTTCCATCTGCTCTGCCTGTAGTACAGCTAAGAATATATGCTCCATTAAAAATGTCCCAAAAGCCCTGGAATTGCTCAGTTTGTATCTCCAGCAACTAACAAAACACACACCAGCTTGATTATTCTGCTCCGTGTTGAGGGATCTGGTTTTCTCATGGATTATAAGAATCGAAATCAGCCACATCCAGTGAAGTGGAAGAAAGGGGGACAGCACAACTGTAATTACTAGGACTAGATGATAAGTCCTGCCTCCAGAGTCTTCTTCACCAATACTGTGTCTTACTGGTCCTTGTGTTAAATACCAGGGGGCTTTAGGGGTGGTGAGAAAGTGGGGTCTGATAAGGAAGCTTGCAGCTGCACAGTGCACACTCAATGCCTTTGTCATGTTCTAAAGGTTAATGACAAAGAAAAGGCGGAGGAAAATTCTTGTAAGGCTTTGAAAAGCCCAATGGTTTTCCATTTCTTTTATGATTGTGAAGTAACTTAGGCTGTTAAAACACAAGTCCCCTCTGAAACGTAATAAATCATAGCAGTGTGTCTGCATTACATCAAATTAGGATCTGTGAGTGAAGGAGAAAGTTGTTAAAATATTGATGGATTTGGGAAATATATAGCTATGTCTGAACTAGAACAAGGAATATACCAGCTATGTCTATACCAGCTGTGTCTATACCAGGACAAGAGAGGAAATGCTGAGTTCAGAATGTAATATTTTCAGGGATTGTACACAGCACAGATTTTGCAAAAAGTAGAGAAATATTTCAGAGACTACAACTGCTGCTAGATTCCATCCAATACAGCCATAAGATCTTGAGGCAGTTTATAACACAAGGTGACATTTCTCATTTGGGTATCATCATAAAATTCCACATTAAGAAAGATGGTTCTATTTAGTCTTGGATAGATATGTGTCATAGTCTTTATTTCTTCTTTGACTTGTGAAATGAATCAGAAAATTACATGGGATTTGAAAAACATACGCTGATCTGTCATTTTATTCCCAAACACCTTTTAACTTTATCCATTAGACTTGATATTGATGGATTTGTGTGGGAAATACTTTTCTAGAAAAAAGAGCACAAATGAAAATCTACCCCTCTTTTCCCTCCACTTTCTGGCCTAGAAAAATAACTGGTCAGTCATTCCTCAGACTTCAGGTACTATTTTTTTTTGCTGTTAGGAAATTCATGAAGGCTTTGCCATAATAAAGTAGCATGAAAAACAGAATGTTTAGAAAGAATTAACTTGCAGGACTATGGTCACATTCTGGAATAATGCAAGAGTTTTTTTTATTTCATATCCCTAACAGGAGAAGTTGCACGCGCTTCATTAGCATATAAAAATTCACATCCAGGTGACTGATAGAGTATGTAGGATAGGCTGATATCTTGGGTTCTAGATCAGTTTTCTTTTAAGTGTCCAAAAAATTAAGCCTCGTGCAAAGTGAGATACATCTGTGACCACAGGCAAGCTGGTGGTTCTGCTCTGCATGTGCAGCCTCGCTTTGCTTAGTTACACAACTAAGCAAACAAAACAAGCTGTAGGCAGACAGGGAATGCTAACAGAGCGGACTCCCAGGATTCAGGAACCAGTATGCACAGTACTTCCAGTATGTCCAGGACACCAGGATGCACATTCTTGCATGGGAGACCAGTGAACTCACAAGACCTTCCAGATGCTGGGTCTTGGAGCACTGTGTTGGCCTCAAAACAAGTCAAATACATGGGGGAAGATCAGAGTAATTAAACCAAACAAATAAACAAAAACACAATAAAATGAATAGTTGCTTCCTCTCCTTACCCCCCTAGACCTAGGTCACTCCATGAAATAAAATCTTCAGCTCCACCTGCCATTTTGATTTTTTTTCTGTTTCCTCTTCTCAGTAAGAGGGAACTCAGAGCACTTTTCCTGGGATGGGTTGACTCCTTAACCCATGCATGACCTCCTCTGTAGCTGGTTTGGTATGATGGACCTTAAGTCAGCACAGAGAGCAGATACCACAAACTGAACTCCCTCCTTGCTGTGCACTGTTTTTCAGAGATGATGTAATCCCCTCTGTTGTAATGCTCTCCTTCCCCAGCAGACACCACAAAGACCACAGTTCCTATGAAGAGCATACATCTTGTAGCCCAGCAGCACTTAGGGAATGCACAGTGCCCCTCAAGCCTGTTAGAGCACCATGTGGATGCAGTCACTGTGTTTTCATCCATGTTGTTTTTTGTATCAAGCTGCCAAAATGAATTTTGGACCTTTTAAGTTCAAGTGCAGGAAGAATGACTTGCTAGTAGAAGTTTCTGGTACTTTGGATAGCTGTCATACCTTTTTGCATTACCAGTGGCAAAAGATCAGAGATTCTGAAAGAAAAATATCATGGACACTATAGCCAAAGAGAGTGCTGTCAAATCCTGTTTTCTGATGCAAGCATCTATCTGCTACTGAAGCTTTCCTTTGCAATAGAAAGTCTGGAAATGGGAATCCTTAGCTTCTCAGGACACCAGGATAATATAGGGGGATCTGCAGCTGTGCATTTCCCTGTAGCTTTCTGCCATCATGTATTCCTCTTCAGTCAGCCCTGAGCTCGTTGCTAGAACAGATGCCCACACAGAGCCAGAGTAGTGCTGATAGCACGCTGGCTATCACACAGATGTCTCCATGGCTGTCTATTTTTTGTGGCCTCTGAGTCTAAGCAAGCTGATCAGTTGTTTCGAAGCTGGTGGATAGGACAGCACATGTAGAAACCACAGAAATATATTCAAAATAAAGAAGCAGGGAATCCAGGTCCATTTGAAATCTGTGTATCTGTGTTCTCTCCCCACTCTAAAACATAAAAAGATGTTTTAAAATATTCCTTATAATGATTATATAGTATAATTATACCTCTGTGCAAAAGGTTCTGGAGCAGGGCCATTGTGTGATGTTTGCTAGAGTATGTGATTATTATAAATACCTATGTTGGTGCTTGTACTGCTCTGAAACAAAAATTTTCATCAGTAGCACTCTTCTTAGTTGGAGTTCTAGGAGTAGGTATGCCAGAGCTAACATGTTATTAGCACTCATTTGTTTTTACAGATGCAAAGGACCAGGTCTTGAAGGATGTCCAAATGGGTGAGTATTCCATCTGCTACAATTAACAACAGAGCTTGAAAGAATGCATGTGTGTCTACATTTCTGCAGTGTCTGCTGGACGCTGTAATGTTGAGGCTGAAGCGTGGTAAAGTCCTGCTTCAGATTTATATGAGGAAGTGACCTCATACAAATGTATAGAAGAACTATAAAAATGACTAAGTAATTAAGAACTACTCCTACTGGCACAAGATTCCGAAACTTGTTCTGCTTAGCTTGTCAAAAGGAAGATCAAGATGAGACCTGGGTTCTGATACTGGAAAGGAAAAGGAGGAAGCTGGAAAAAGAAAGGGTAATGGTTTAGAGGCAGAAAGAGATGTGTTTAGAATTGATGTGGTTAATTCCCTGCATTATAGGGAAGTAATTGCAGAGAACGTGGGGGGCTTCTCCAGTCGGGAACCCCTACATCTTCAGCCTCTCCATGCAAAGATAGACATTCATTCTTCTCATGAGATCTTATTTTCCATTGTTTGGCCTCTTACCTTGCTCAAGAACATGCAAGAAGTCAACAGGTTTCTCTGACTAAGAGAGGGATTTAGTTTCTGACAGTGATGTTATGCTATGGCAAGGCAAATTCAGCCTAAAAGTACTGTTAAAATGTGACTCTATTTAATAGTAATCCCCAAGGCATCTGTGATGGATCTCCAACTACAGACCAGTAGACAACCTTGGGATACAGGTTTTTCTTTTCAACTTAAGTCTGAAAACTCTTATAAACAGGCAGCTATCAGTACATGCAACACAGACTGTTCACATACTACCCCAGCCTCAGTCATTTTGTACTTGGGGATAAGGGCAGACAGTTTGAAGTACATCGTGACCCATACATCATGCACTCTACAGTGATGATATAAATACTGCTGTCAGCTTCATCATCGGTATTACAGCTACGTATGCCTTCTTGATATCACTTTACCTTCATGTATACAAACCTGTTAGTACCTCATGGAGAGCCTTCTCTTTTCCCTCCTGCTTTGTGATGTTAAAATCACCAGGGTAAACAAGCAGACTCATCTCTGCAAGGCTCAGCACTGGGCCATAGAAGCACTTTTTTCCTGAGAAAATTGGTTTATTAAAGGTTGCTTTGCAAATATGGAAAAAAAACTACAAAAGCAAACGGCACAGAAATGGGAGATACAGAAAAACAATCATCTGCGGGAGGAGAGATGGCAGAGCACTGGAGGAGAAATCCCCGCTGCTAAGCAGATGGGTTCGTATCAGCTTAGTTCTTTTGATTTTTCACTATTCCCTGGTGATCAATAAACACAAACACTGGGTGAGGAACTTAAAAATACAGTTACTTAAGACTCCTAACACGTCAGATTGTTCTAGGGAGGTGTCCAATCAAAAACAAAAAACGTATATGCGACCTCTGTAGGTTTTTCTTATATCACACACCTAAGCATTTTCTTCTTTTCTGCATCTCTGGTGCCTGGCAGCTCCAAAACTCCATCCATCGCGGCTGGTGTTGTTGGAGGACTCCTGTGCCTGGTTGTGGTTGGTTTGGGCATCGGCCTTTACCTGCGGCGCCGTCACATCGTGCGGAAGCGCACCCTGCGCAGGCTGCTGCAAGAGAGGGAGGTGAGCACTGCGAGCGCACCTAGGACAGGCTGCTTTCCTGAGGGCAGTGAAGCCGGACCACCTTAAACCTGAGAGCTGCAGCACCGCGGATCTGCCTTGAAATTCAATAAGCCCAGGCTTGGCTGCCAATGGCACCTGCCACGCTCATTGGACAAGAGGCAGTGGGCACCTAACACCTTCTCATTTAATCTTAAGTCTGAGCTCTGTGGATATAATTTTCCAAAACCATAGGGATTTAGATATATAAATCTCAGTGGCAATCATTGAAAATTTCTGCTTGAGGAAAAGACTGCCTGAGGGGTGATGTGTAATATGTTTGCTGAGCTGTGCAATCTTGCCATGTTAACCCTCAGCACTGAGTCATTTCTCCCTCCCAAAAAGCCAAGTGGCAACAAAAGAAAATCAATAAAGGGAAAAAACTGACTTATGTATCAAAACAAACATTAAGTACTTCTGTTGGAGGCCATTGCTACTGTTTGCAACAAGGCTTAGATCAAATTTTAACAGTCAGTTCAACTTTTCAATTTATAAAATGATTGTGCTCATAGTTTAAACTGTTGTTTTTAAAAGCTGTGGTCTGGAGGATCTACTTCCAGTACCATGGGAATTTTGTCTAATTAAACAAGAGCAAACTTGAAAGGTTGCAGGTGGTTCCTGCACATTACTTTAAACATTTTTATAATTTATATGCAAGTTGAAAAAAATAATCTTATTTAAGATCTGTGGTAATTGCACTGTTCTTCATGCCATATTTTTTAAGTCTTTTATGTCTAAGTCTTCATTTGAACAGCAGTATTCCTTCATTTTCCTTCAAAATGGCAGCTGCTGTTCTGCTCAATTTCAGTGAACAGAAATGGTGTAGTGGAGCTTATTTTGATTTATTTTACCTCTGAAATTTGGAACAACTCTAGATATTTGTTGCTGTAAGTCAGAGCAGAATCGCCCTCACATAAACTTCAGCTGGAATCATATGTTCATTATCTTAAATGTAGGATTAATTTCCTTCCGAAATTGTGCTACTTGCTGTGCTCCAACCTGCATCCTTCTAAAGCCTTGTTCTTCTGTCTGCACCAGCTTGTCGAACCACTGACACCCAGTGGGGAGGCACCAAACCAGGCCCACCTAAGAATTCTAAAGGAAACAGAATTTAAAAAGGTCAAAGTTTTGGGTTCTGGAGCTTTTGGCACTGTTTATAAGGTAAGATCACAATGTTTCTCTTCTCCACCCAAACAGAGCATGAACTGAGAGCTGAGGTTACTGTTGTAGATTTTTTTCACTAGCTTTCATAACTTGTATGTGTTGACATGGCAGTGATACTACTAAAATTGTCATTAATTCATTTATTAATTTGATAACATGGGATTTTTTTGTGTGTTGCTGAATCTATATTGCTGAACCAGTGATTTATAAAATGGAAGTGGCCAGGTTTTGCTATTGCAGTTGCCATGATGTGCTAATTAATTAGATTTCTATCCAAGTAAGGTATTCCTTATGCATGTTTTGGGCTATACATACAGGTAATTAACATGGGTTTTTTGAGTGTTTTTTCAAAAAAATATGGTAGAAGTAACAAAAAATGAAATGTCATTCCACTGACGGGATTCTTTTAATACCCACAAGACATAATGACTTTTTGCATATTGATTGTCAAATTTTTGTTGTTTGCTTTGCCTTCCCATTGCTCAGAATATTTAAGTCTACTCAGCAGATGTAAAATGTGTACATAATTGTGAGAATTAACCTGTTAGACATAAGAACTGAGTAATTCTTTGTACTTCTTTTTGGTAGGGACTTTGGATCCCAGAAGGGGAAAAGGTTAAAATTCCTGTTGCTATTAAAGAATTGAGAGAGGCTACATCGCCAAAAGCCAACAAGGAAATACTTGATGTAAGTGTTCATATTTGTTTTGCCAAGTTGACAGTGGACTGTGGATTTTCCCCTTTAGCAGCTAAAGGGATTTCAGAACTTTGGCAGGCAAGAAATGTTTAACATCCCAACCAGAATTCTCATATAAAATTGCAGTCATAATGCAATTGTTTTGAATCCTGACATTGCAGATTGTCATCACATTGTTGTTTAGTTATAAAGGAATAAGTTAACTGTTAATCTGCAAAGAAAAAATTCCCAGCAGACTAGTTTCTCAGCCACGAAAAGTGAAAAATTATCTCACTTTCTGAAAGAAGCTTGGGAGTTTTACTTTCTTACTCAGATAAAACTTACGACTTCACAAAACAGGGAAAAGGCTATGAGGCACTGTTTCTCATATGCTTTCAGAGGGACAAAGATCAGCAGTTCTCAGATGACTGAGATCTCTGTTAGACCTTGCCAGGTCCCCAGGAGCTGCTGACAGCCATGGTTAAACAACTACGGTCTGGAAATTGTCTTCCAGATTTTGTCTCTGGATTTCTGGAACCAGCTTCCTAGCATTATCCCATGGGGAGAAACCACTTGTTTCCCCTGAGCCATTGGAGAAGACACAAGCAGCACAGACCCTTTGCCCCTAGGCCAGTCTCATGCTTTTCCAAGTCCCAGACCCACATGGATTCCATTACTGCTCCAGTACATCCAGGGTAGGCTGCTTTCCTCCTGCATGCGCCTTCCAGGGGCTGTTTCACTCTTCACAGTGATAAGGAGCACAGTACAGTTTTCACAAATTGAACTGTGTCAAATTCCTGTATAGGAAAGGTTAATTAATAAGCCTGTGGTACTGCATCCTGCCTTCAGCAGAGCAAGATACCCAAATGATGGATTTGGTACATGCATGGACTGTATGCTCTTTGGTGATAACAAAATACTTTCTCTTGAAAGAAGTCAGAAAGATGACTCCAAAAGCTCTTTTCCTTTTGCTACACAACCAATATTTTAAGGTCACTGAAACATCAGAGATAATGACAATCAATTAAAGGTGATTTCTCCTACAGAAACATGCTAGGCATCAAACCAGCTCATCAGCTTTAGTTCCTGTAATCCAGACAAGCTCTCGCTGACTTTATTAGGGTAGGGCTAATTCAGAAGATTGTTGTTGAATACCAAGCATACTTGGAGCAGGTCAGAGCATACACAGAGACTTCCAAGATAAACAGTTGAAACAAAGGCTCACTTTAATGTCTAGGACTACTTGGAGGGATCCTGGATGTGCAATAGCTCCCCTCTGCTCCCTGTGAGGAGGCTGTGGACCTATTTCCCTATTACCAAATCTGGGAGCTCTCTGAAAGCTGTGTGGCCGAATGCCAACTCCACACCTCCAGATTCCCTGCTCTGCCCCCAAGCCAGCCCAGCAGGGGCTGTGTGGCAGATGGGTAGAAAGCAGCTCTGAGCCTGCAGATTTCTTTTCCCCCTGCTGAAATTTATACAGCACGGAGCTGAATCCCAACAGGAAGCAACACTAGGAAAAGATGCCCTTAATCACTATTGCTGCTGGGTTTTGAGGCCTACTGAGATTACTGTATTCTGCTCTCTGCTTCCATCTAAGCATCATATAGTAAATTCACAAGATTGTCTTAAAGTGTCATAAATGCTTACATAAGTAAAGAACACATTGTATTCTTCCTTTATCTTTCCTCAAGCTACCTTACTCAGCACTCTCTTTGACAAAGTATAGCTGAAAGTTACCTGCTCACATTCTGCAGGAAGTTGAGGATCCCTTAATTTGAGTTCTGCTGGAGATCATCTTTACTCTGGCTGCCTGGAGGCCACTTGCATCCCTTTGGCTCTTAAACAAAGAAACCAAATGCAGAATTAGCACCTCTGAAGAAACAGCATTATGTCATGTTTTGCTTAGGCTGGCATGTCATGCAACAATTCCAGGGACAGAACGTATTGCTTAAGAATTGGGATTGTTTATTTCTTGAATGTCATTGCTATAATATCTTTGTTTAATAATAGTTGTTACCAGATACACAGCTATGTGACGTCTGTGGAAAGCTTGTTAGGTGATGAGTTTAGTGCTGTGCTATTTCATTTCTTAAGCTATTAGAAAGTGCAGATTTGCTTCTTTCCCTGCTGCAATTGTGCTCTGTGGGCATTGACTATTAGTTAAGGCGTCTGAGGGCTGCTGACTTAATGATGAAACTTTCAAGGGATGATTAGTTGGTGCACTCTAGATGGTAAGTTAAGATGCTGACCTAAAAGCTCACTGCATGGAAAAATCCCCATTTATTTATTTAATTGTATCAGTTTTCAATCAAAGGTCTTTTAAAATGTTCAAAACAGAAATATTGTAAAATCAGATGGGAAGTTAGTTAAAAAAGACTTCGACTTTACTTTTTTCCCCTATTGTATATAACTCATAGAATTGCTTTGCTAGGTTGGAAAGGGCCTTCAAGATCATCAAGTCCACCACAACCTACCCATGCTACCCTGACTCTAACAACCCACCAGTAAACCATGTTCCTGAGCACCACATCCAAATGGATTTTAAACACATTCAGGGATGGTGACTCAGCCACTTCCCTGGGGAGCCCATTCCATCACTTAACCCTTTCTGTAAAGAAGTTCTTCCTGATATTGAACCTAAACTTACCCTGGCACAACTTGAGGCCATTTCCCCTCATCCCGTCACCTGCCGCCAGTGAGAATTGACCAGCCCCGCTCTCACTGCAATCACCCTTCAGATATTTGAAGAGAGCAATAAGGTCTCCCCTCAGCCTCCTTTTTCCCAGACTAAACAGCCCCAGTTCCTTCAATCTCTCCTCATAGGCCATATTTTCCAAGCCCTTCACAAGCCTTGTTGCCCTTTTTTGGACCTGCTCCAGCACCTCCATGTCCTTTCTGTACTGAGGTGCCCAAAGCTGAGCACAGCACTCGAGGTGAGGCCTCACCAGTGCCAAATACAGGGCAGGATGACTTCCCTGGTCCTGCTCACCACACCATTCCTGATCCAAGCCAGGATGCCATTGGCCTTCTTGGCCACCTGGGCACACTGCTGGCTCATATTCAGCCCACTGTCCATCAGTACACCATTCTTTGAGCTGGCACTTGACAGTGGATCTCAGCGCAAATACAAATCCCAAATTCTAATCTGTAAGTAGTTTTTTTATGAAACCCTGTGAAGTTTGAGTGGCTTATCCCTCATGGCCGTGTTAAAAGGTGTATTCAGTTTTTCTGGAGGCTGCAAGCCTCTCGGGATCTCTCTTGTCTCTTAACTGCAGAAAGAGCAAAGAAGAGGTACCTTGTTTACCTTACACAGGGTGAACAGGCTTGAAAGAAGAGTTTCAGGTATTTATGAAACTCAAACCCAAAAGGCTTTATTACGGTTTTCATAAAATATATAACTATCTTCTTGATATCATAGACAAATATTTTGGTCATACAGAAGGGAGTGTTTCACATCCCTTTCTTCCCTTCTTTCTTCTCAGGAAGCCTATGTGATGGCTAGTGTTGACAATCCTCATGTGTGCCGCTTGCTGGGAATCTGCCTCACTTCCACTGTGCAGCTCATCACCCAGCTCATGCCTTATGGCTGCCTCCTTGACTACATCCGAGAGCACAAGGACAACATTGGCTCCCAGTACCTTCTCAACTGGTGTGTGCAGATTGCCAAGGTAAGTTGACCAGCTTGGCTTTGGGGCCAGCTAAGACCCAGGCTGTGATACAAATATCAGGAAATACGTAATGTGTTTGTTAACTTACCTGTCTGCCCAGGTCTCTGTATTTCACCATGCTCCATAGTTCCTAGAGACTTGATACACATCAGCAAGCTGTTGCTTTGTTTTAAACAACTTATTATTTTCAAGCCACTGAGCAAACAAATTGCTCCTATGCAGCATAATATTGTCACCAATGAAAACTAATCACTCAGTGATGAAACAGTCGTGTAATTAAGTTGTGATGGAGAAGAGAAAAGAATCTGTCATTCTCATAACAAAATGCTGCTTCAAGTTACCATATTTATTTGGGCTGTGCCACAAGGCAAACAGTAATGTTAAATATACCTTCTAGCATGCCCTGGAGAATGACCCTGGCTTTTCAGGCTGAAATCTGTGTGGTCTGGGGATCAAAACTGCTGATTAATAAATACCATCTGGCTGTGACCAAAGACATTCCAGGCACCACAGGGATTTTTGCAATTCATATACAATGAGTTGGTGCATGTGATCAAATTGAAATGGCCACAGTGCTAAATAAAACATCATTATCACACCTGGCACTGGTTATCTGCCTGTGCATGGAGCTAAGGAGAAAAGAAGCAAAGGAGATTGAAGTACAACCCCTTAGCGGTATGCTGTGTGAAAGATGGTTTGATATGGAAGAATGGGCAAAACCAATAGCTGCAGTTTGTGTAAGGTTTGTTTTGTGAGATAGCATTATTTGCAAAGTCTAGATGCTTAATTCTGCTCATTTCAGTAATACCCAGTTAACCACACACTTACCACCTTATTGGTCCCTTGAGACCTTGTTTACATCTCAGGCTCTCCTGGCCGTGGTTTGCTTTCAGGAAATGTATCCACCAGAAGTATACAGCACATATTTTCATCTAGTTATGTGTATTTTTTACAGCACACTCCACAGCAAATTAGTTTATGTGTCCACTGGTAATATGAGCTGCCATTATTCTGACTCTTGCTCTCTCATTTGAAACCAGTTATTGCTCTCTCCTGGTCTTTCTTCCTGTGGATGATGAACCGGAGGCCACATTTCCCTCCTTTTCTTCCTCCTCCTCATTCATTTTTAAGGTGGCAAAATCAGTCCCCAGACTGATCCTCAGAACACCCCATTTGTTGTGCACTTGCCTGAAATGTTACCATCCACAATTGTTGCTTCTTTTTGATATCCTTCACATCAGCTCAGCATTCACCTATAGCAACCTTTACCCTTTCCAGTGTTGCGTGACTCCAGCATCCTTCTTTGTGTTGCTCCATACCGAAGTTCTCCTCAAAGTGCTTGTAAATAATGCATATGGCTTTTTCCCACCAATGTGTCTGGTGTTTCTGCTGCACTGATGAGGCCATGCCCCATATTTTGACTTTGACTCTGAAAATGGGGAGAAAAATTATGACCAATATACGTGTGTCTGGAAACTAACCAGAAGGAAACAAGTTCACTGTGAAGTTTATTTTTGTTTCTGTTTTTACAGCTTTGAAATAATTTCTCTTTGTATCTTTCACAAACATTATATTTTACTAAGCCATGTCTTTCAGACAAAATGAGTGTATCCACACCATGTGCAGAAACACTTTGAAGTAACTTTGAACATGTTAGTCTCACACTTAATGATGAAAAAATGGCTTAAATCCCAGACTTGAACACAAATAAAGATCTGTTGTACTTTCTGCATAAGCAGTTCAACATCTTTGGTATATGCTTATGTATGTGTAAAGTCCTTTGGCTAGCAGAGTCTTAAATGGCTTAATGTGAAACTGATATTCTGCTTTTCAGTAGCTTTGAGTCCTAATAAGTCTCTGCAGCAATACATGCTTTGCAGAAAATGTTTGCTCCACCAGGGTGAGATTTTGTGACTTTTTTTAAGACAGTCAGTTTTCTATTGGTAGCTCAAGATTTTTTTTCAAGAACTCTGCTCATTAAAGATATATTTGTATAATTAAATGCATGCTCACAGTGGCATTGTGCCAGTCTGTTTGGGTGGTTTGTTTTGGCAACACAAGCAGCTCTAAGCACAGGGGTGAAGTTCTGCTGAGAAAATGCAGTGGAAGATTCACTGGTGGTCCAGGTTAACAGTGGGCTTAGGATGGGGGTGGAATATGGAAGGGAATTACTCCCTCCAGTGCCCTGTCATCAAATTTTGCTCATTTTGGTGTTAATTCTGTAGGCTAGAAGCACTTCTTTTATTAATTCTGTCTTTGTAAAAATACAAGCACGTAATCTACTGCCAGCAGAAACCTATGGACTGGGAATAATTGTGGTTTTTAGAAAGGATCTCACAGGAAACTTAGAAATCATGTTTTTATTTAATTTCATGCACCACAAGACTGGAGTTGAGGGAACAAAGAATTAACTCTATGGTCAGAGAGGCAGATGTTAGGATCATGCCTTAAAAATCAAACCAGCACAATTAGCAATTTTATCTGTCTGAGAGATCTGTAGTCACTCCAGAGAAAAGTCTGTTCTTCTTTGAGAGTTGTACCAAAAAAGCATGTATGCTATGGCACTGAAACCAGAAGAACTTGCCTTTACAAAGAGGACTTGAAAATAGGTGCAACTCTGAGCTCAGCCATTACATGAGGGTTTTTTAACTTTTTTCCTTTTATCATGTTTGCAGAGATGCCTAATTGCTACCAGTGAGTTCATTGTAACAAGGCACAGAACTGGCCTTGAGTAATGAATAATGAATTTATTTTTGCTTGGACTCTTCTCCCAGTCTGTTTATGTCTAGATTCTCCCAGTGAGGTTTGCCTGTGTGAATAAGGATGGTGATGGTCACCATCTCCATTGTGCCACCTTAAGGTCCTAGGAGTTGCACAACCACAGCTGAAGGATGGGTTTGCCCACTCCTTTGACAGTACTGTGCTGGTTTTATATGTCTTTAACAAAGTCCCAGAGGAGCCACATCCCCTGCTACACCTACTGCCATCCTTATTTCTCAATGGTTCCATCTGAATACAGACCCACAGAAAGGTTACTAGAAGACAGTAATGTAACTACCTCTTTCTCTGCATAGTACATGCCCTCATCCAGCAGTCAGCATCACAAAATTCAAAACAGCAAACTTTTCTGAATAGGTTACCATGTGTTTATGGTGGTATGTATACAGTTACCATAGAGCAGCTGAGGTTTGGTGACTTATTTGTGTGTCAAAGCTCGAAGTATATGAGCAAGATGCCTACCACCAGTCTATTGTTTTGTAGGGAATGAACTACCTGGAGGAACGTCGTCTGGTGCACCGTGACCTTGCTGCCAGGAATGTCCTTGTTAAGACTCCACAACATGTGAAAATCACAGACTTTGGGCTGGCAAAGCTGCTTGGGGCAGATGAGAAGGAGTATCACGCAGAGGGAGGCAAGGTACAAGTCACTAGAGGATGAACCATGGCGTGTTTGTTGGTGTGTTCGTGTGTTCATGCATGAGCCTTTATGTTAAAAATAGGAAAAAAGAAGTGGGCTTTTCAGAAGGCTCAGCTGCAATCTCAGCTTGCTGCCTTTGAAGCCTGTGGAAATCTGCTGAGCACAGCCAGAGCAGCGTCAGGCCAGTGTGACTGCAGTAGGAGCAGAGGTAGCAGAGCAGCAAGGGCTTTTGAAATTCCCACCCTGAATGTCTGGGAAAGAACAAGGTTATTTGAAAAACAATAAAAATGAAAGCATGTCTGAATTCATCACATAGCCAACACCAATAAAACTGTGCAGTTTGTGAAGAGCAAGAGAATTCCATATATTTATAGCAGAAGAAAGACCTGTCAGGCTTGGTTCAACATGCCTTTATGTTGTACTACATGCTGATGAAGGGAATGTGTCCTGCTGAGAAATTAACAAGAATCTGCTTGCAAATATTGCTGTGACTATAAATGGAAATCAGATGAGCACAAATCGGTCTTTGTCATACCATCTGAGATTGGATTTTTATTCTGTTTCAACAGGAGAAAGTTAAAAAATGAGTAATTTAACTGTTAAAAATATGGTAAAACTAACTTGTAAGAGATATTTCTAATAGGCTCAAAAATTTCACAAGTTTCCAGGTTTAGCATAGTAAATGAAAACAGTAACAAGGGACTCAGGACTTGCCTGCTTTACCACTCAAATAATTGTGTTGTTTCATTGTGGTTTTTGACCACTTTCTACAACCAATTAATTGACTTAAACACCGCCTGGCGGTAAAGGTTGCTGATAAAATTTGATTCAGCATCCTATGGCTAATTTGCGGATCTTCCTAGGTTCCTATTAAATGGATGGCATTGGAGTCAATTTTACACCGAATTTATACTCATCAAAGTGATGTCTGGAGTTACGGTGAGTCTAAAAACATAGTTTTTGTAGATGTGTTGGAACAATTGCAATGACATTGAAAAGAGTTCTTTATTCTTCCTATTATCTGAAGATTGAGAGATTAAACCTAAATAATGGGCCAAAATCACCCATTCAGCTAAGTAAAATTCCCACAAAACTGAGCAGTGGTGAGGTGTAAGAGGTTTTGCAAAATATGCTTCCACATGATGAGCCCTTCCCTGACAGGAGCTACATGTAGGAGTTTGCACTCCTCCACACGGTGAACTGCTGAAGACCAAAAATAAAGCAGTATAATGAGAGGGAAGACATAAAACCATTGGCCACACTGCCAGTCAGCATCAGTCAGTGTAACTCCAATTTCTCCTCTGGCACTATTTGAGGTGATGATATAACCTTATTTTGTCATGGTGGCCTAAAACGATTCAGAGTAGTTGCAAAATGGCAAGCAGTATGATGTGCTCTCCAGATACTGAGAGGACAACAAGGAAAGAAAAGCAATTGAAATAATTCATTTTATACTTTGTACAAAAGATAAAGGAGCTGAAAGGAAAATTTTCAGAGCAACTTGTTGCAAAATTTCCACTCCATGGTGTCACACTCCTGGAAGAAGTTAAGTACAAATAGTCAGACGCTGTATCCATTTAGAAAAAGTACAGTCTCTGGTTCTCTTAATCCATTTATGTATCTTGGCATCCAAAGTTTTATTTTGTATCCTAAGCTACTGGACAGTCACAATAGCTACATCACAAAGTATGTCATCAGCAAACAACACTGAGGCAGATGGTTTACACATTTTTCAACAACTGCTCTTGCTGGTCTCCGAAGAGACTGTTTTAAACAAAAAGGCAACTTCCATTTTTAAATCCCCTTTCTAAACTGGAGTCAGGAGTCTGTAACCTGTATTTTCTTTCTTTCCTGGGGGGCTGGAAAGTCTGTGGGATGTTCAACACTGAGACACTAGTTGCGATTAAAAAGAAATAAAGGAAGGCAAGATGATTTCAAACTGTTTTATTAATGTGTATGTCTTTAATATCATGGCAAAAAGTGCTTTGCCTGGATGAGGATCTGTCAGTGCATTTCTCTCAATTGACAAACACATCCAGGCAAACTACTCAGCTTCCTCCAAATTTTTGTCACTGTCTTCTCCTTTCCTTGCAGGTGTGACAGTTTGGGAGTTGATGACATTTGGGTCCAAGCCTTATGATGGGATCCCTGCAAGTGAAATCTCCTCTGTCTTGGAGAAAGGCGAGCGTCTGCCTCAGCCACCAATTTGTACTATTGATGTGTACATGATCATGGTCAAATGTGAGTTCAGTGGATTTGTGGATGCTTTCCTAAGCCCAATAAGTGGCACAGTTGTCTTCATTATGTAGGCATTTCTGTAAGTTGTATTCTTGGTGATGGCATGGAAATTAGGTTACATGAAAAGAGCAGTCACAGAGTGCATTCCTGCACCTCATGCCTTAGGTGGGAGTAGAGGGCACGATTTTGTTAATTGCTAATTCAGCCAACTAATGGTTTTTCACCATTCACACTGCTGGCTGATGTTGTCAATTATTTTAAAATGTCAGGCAATATAAATCAGTACAACACCATCCATGTGACCTGATGCTCTGGTTTTAAACATCTAGAAAATAAAACTAACAATGACTTCTCCAGGCTCAGCCTTAGCTCAGTAATATGCTGTCAGGTAGGGCACACTGAAGGGCTTCTAAATCTCAACCCCCTTTTTCATCTGTCAGCTGCTAAAATGTCAGATTGTAACCTTGCTTCCTAAGCCAAGATTAGGCTGCATCCCTGCCAGTACAGTTTGTGAGGATGCTGAGAGGCAGCCCACTAGGTGGCATTTAAGATCTTTTCACTGGAACAGACTGTAGCTTTTGCTGAAATAAAAGCTGTGCTACAACACCAACCCTGTAGTATAGCACTTTTGGGTAGGCTTGGAGAGCCTGTGCACTGCTGTGCTGGGAAAGGCACTGTACAAGGAGAGTCTGATCCTGTGTTCACTGTGGTGAGAAGGAACCACATCCAGACATGTCCATCTGCATCCATCAGCAGTGCTCAGACCCATAAGCATTCTCCTGGAAGTCCCTCCTCGGCAATGCTGAACCCTGCTGACACCTGAGCCCTACCTGATTTTGACAATCCTGTCCCAGATCTTCAAAAGCTCTGCACAACAGTGTGTCTCCAAATGCTGAGATTTTCTGAGTCCTGGCTGCTCCATCCACTGCCCTTCTTTAAAGCGAGGCCAGAGCTAGAAAGCAGGCATTTTTCCAGGCACTCAGTCGGATACCTCTTGCTTATAAAACACTACAAATGAGTGTCACTACCCTCTTTTATACCATTACACCAAATTTAAAAGCAAGAGCATGAGAATGTGGGGTTTGAGCCTTTCTTCTTCCACAGGGCTCAGTGGCACATCTTTCACCGCTCCAGTCAGACCCTGTGTACAGGTTGCAGTGCTGACATTGCTGAAGCCATGCCCTCTTGTCTAAAAGAATTTGGGATTCCCATTCATCTCCTTTTATAAACAGAGAACATAAACTGAAAAGTTGGAAGTTATTACACACAATTTTTTTAAACACATGCAATTAGAAGATAAATTCAGAAGCAGTAGATGCTGCTTCTGCAACAGCAGCATACTTCCAAAAGGTCCATTTTCTCCTAAAGTGAGAAGAATTTCTTTAATTGGTAAGAACTGCACTGGAAGAATTGAGCACGACATTATATCGTCAGTGTGACAAAAAGCCACTGGCACTGATGAGATTTTATCCAGTGCAGATTTCAGATGGTGTACTGTTGCTTTGGTCCTCCATTGCCTTGGATAAGCTGCTTCTTATGAGTTCTCTCAGACATACTAAGATTAATCTTTCTTACTTCTAATTTTAAACACAGCTGTCTATATATCACCTCATCTGTTAGTTGATATCAGAAAGTGTAGATTTTCTAAGTCATCTCACATGTAAAGCCACCAGTATCAATATTAGAAATCTCTTCCATCATTGATCCACCCTAAGCTGTAGTTAAAGTTCATTTACTAATTAAATACAACTTAAGTATGGTTAATCTTTCAAAACATTTTGTAGATGTAAATTTTAGAAAATATCTGGTACAGGGTAGAAAATTGCAAGTTTTCCACTTTAGATTTCCCAGGATTTCATGAAGCAATGCAGAAAGGAACAGGCCAATTACAATATATCTGCAGGAACCTGATGAAAATACTTTGCTTCTCTTCCTTCAAGAAGTTTAGACTGATCCAGACTGGCCCCCATTGGCTGTTCTCAGGTCTTGTTCCTTACCGTCACACTGTAGGACCTTCTGTCCAACAGAGACAAGCCAGGAAGAGAGTGGACAGGCTCAGGCAGGAGCTTGTCTGGCCTTGGGACTTTACTGCCTCCTTCATGCTTCCCAAACTGCCAGGTTGTACTTCTAACATGCTGACATTCACACCAGCTAGTGTCTGGTTAATTAATTTTTTATGGTGATCTCTTACAGGCAGCTGCTTTCTTCTTACCATGTATAGCACTGCTCTTTTAGCTGTTATACTTTATTTCAGACTCTGTGTCTGACTGCTGAAACAATTTCAGTTGTGCACTGCTCTCCCTGCTGTCCTTTCAGGCTGGATGATTGACGCAGACAGCCGTCCCAAGTTTCGTGAGCTGATTGCAGAGTTCTCCAAAATGGCTCGAGACCCTCCCCGCTATCTTGTTATACAGGTACTAAACACAGTGGTAGCAACATGTCTAATGGGTGTTTAATATCGGGTGCAGAATGATTAATGATGAATAGGAAATCAAATTCCTGGTTTGGACGAGTTTTCCACATACAAGATGCCAGGCTACACAGGCTAATGTTCCCATGGTTTGCTTCCTTCTGAGGCAAAACAATTTATCCTGCCCATACCGCTTCTGAGTGCTGCAGCAAAAAATTTTGTTATGACATTTACTTCAAGCTAAAAGATCCAACACAAATGACATTGGTGTGAGGATGTGAAAGCTGACTGAAATGGCAGAGCTCTGTGTTTTAGAGAATCAGAGAGCTGAATCTGTTAGTCTGTTTATCTCCTTGCCAGTGAAGGATTATTTCCTGTGATGTTTGCTGAAACATGATGTGGAAAGAGAAGCCATTTAGGAAAACAAGAGCAGTTGTAGAATAGATGTTGAACATCCTCTCTGGCACTGATGATAAGAGGAAACAGCATAGCTGTTTGTGGCAGAATGTGAACTTACACTCAGTAACAGCATGAGTTAAGAAGATATGCTGCAAATAATTTCTAGCACATGCTGATAATTTAAGGACAGTTCTTGCCTTCCAGGTCTTAACACATTCAGCTAGAACCACAGACAGAATTTCAAGACTGGCCAGTATTTTCTTAATACTGGTCCCTGTCTATGCCCAATACTGAAATCCTGAAAGGCTGAGTTGGAATAGTTTGAATATTACAAAATATTCAAAAAATATTACAAAAATGCAGATATTTTACAGCAGCATGGACGTTGCAGGTCCAGATTCTATGGATAGTGAGGGCTTGAAGGAATTCTGCGAATCCTCTCTCGCTCTGATTTGTCTCACAGGGAGATGAAAGAATGCACTTGCCCAGCCCTACAGATTCCAAATTTTATCGCACCCTGATGGAGGAGGAGGACATGGAAGACATTGTGGATGCAGATGAGTATCTCGTCCCACACCAGGGCTTTTTCAACAGCCCCTCTACATCTCGGACTCCTCTCCTGAGTTCATTGGTATGAAGCTTTTCCTCTCTAAAAACAAAACAAAAAAAGAAGTAATGAGAGAGTGAACTGTTTCTCATGATTCCTGTATTTTCTCTCTTTCTTTTCAAAAGAGCGCTACTAGCAACAATTCTGCTACAACCTGCATTGACAGAAATGGGGTAAGTGGAATGACTCGTAAAAAAGGAGTAGCAGCACTGTATGACCACTTTCCTATTGAATCCCCCCTCCCTACTTTTATATCTCACTTATGCAAGACAACTTCTACAGAACAGTCCCTGTAATACTGAATTTCTGCATTTCCAACCTAGCAGGGGCACCCTGTGAGGGAAGATAGCTTTGTCCAGAGGTACAGCTCAGACCCAACAGGTAATTTCTTGGAGGAGAGCATAGATGATGGCTTCCTGCCTGCTCCGGGTAAGTACCTCTCCTATGTTTCCATCCTAGGGCTATTCATTCACAAACCATTTGATCAGACTCTTGCATGAATACAGTTATCTTCATTACTCTTTGAGAGAAAGGAAGCAGCCCAAATGTTTCCTACCTTTTGCTTTTACTCAGTAAACAAGAATGAAAATGCATGCACATATCCTTTTCTTAAACTTTTTTTGACTGCTTTTGGCCACCTCTCATTTCCACTCCTTCATGAGCCAAGTTCCTCATGTTTACCACGTGTGCCATCTGCTTAGGAAGTTTAGGTGTGTGAGTCTATGTTTAAAGCTTTCTACTACTTCAGAAAATATCACATCAACATCGGTTTCACCCCTTATACCATTTCTGCCATATAAACAGCTTTCTGGTTGTGTCACTGCTTTCAGATATTGATACGCAGAAGGAATCTCACAGGTTCCCATTAACTTACAGCACTGGACATCACAGAGTGACACAGATGGCATAGAGGGTCACGGTTAACTAGTATCCTCAAAAAAAATTAACCTTCTCTCCCTTCCCACATCTCTTTTGAAAAGACTGACAAGAGACTGCATGTGAGTGAGATGTGGAATCTCCGTTACTGTCTGTTCTGTCTTTCCTAGGTAGTTGCTTCATCTCTAAACATTTTTTGAGGGATATGGCTTCTGACCGCCAAACTCCCTATTGAAATTTCAGAACAATATCAGGGACATAGCCACTACAATCAGCGCTAGCTATTTTGCAGTCTTGTGGCCAAAGTAATCTTTCTGCTGCTTTGAAACTTGAAGATGAGCTTCAAGGCAGTGTGCTTCATGTACAGCATGGATGTCACTGCACTTAGCTCTCTTCCACTCTGGACGCAGAGCTGGGAAGTCTGGTGAGATGTTGCACTGAAAAAAGTGTTGCAGATGGATTAAAACTGCACCTTGAGTGATGCAAATGGTTTGCATTAGTCATACCTCATCACTTCCATTATCTTGTTTGTTTGTTTTTAATTCCAGAGTATGTAAACCAGCTGATGCCCAAGAAACCGTCTACTGCTGTGGTTCAGAATCCAATCTACAACAACATCTCTCTCACAGCAAACTCAAAGCTCCCTATGGACTCAAGCTACCAGAATTCCCACAGCACAGCTGTGGACAACCCTGAATATCTCAACACTAACCAGTCCCCACAGGCCAAAACAGCTTTTGAGAGCTCTCCTTACTGGATCCAGTCAGGCAATCATCAAATAAATCTGGACAATCCTGACTACCAGCAGGACTTTTTACCAAATGAAACAAAACCTAATGGTCTCTTGAAAGTTCCTGCAGCAGAAAACCCAGAATACTTGAGGGTGGCAGCACCAAAAAGTGAATACATTGAAGCTTCAGCATGACCACAGAGGATTTTTTCTTGCAGTGAGACAAGCCAGACTGGTGAATCGCCTGGCTGCTGCAAGAGCAAAAACTGTTCAGCATGAATGGCAACCACAATGCATCAATAAGCACACTTCAGCACGCAATCTGAATCTGCAAAACCAATCTCACAGGACAGTTTGGGTCTTTTCTTGCCCATTTCCATGTATAGCTGAAGCCCATACCCTGCACTGAGATGTGTGTTGAAATGGAGCGGGACCTTCCTGTACAGAAAAAATATGGATGCATTCCTTTCATTTTCAAATGGTAGCATGGTAAGAAGCCACTCTGGGATGAACTTGTGAGCTGTACACTCTGTACAGTCTAATTTCTTTCTACAATGTGTATTTTTATAAATGTTTCTAACAGATTTTTTGGATCTTTTACAAGATCAGATGCTTGTACTGCTTGTCTGTTAGTTGGTGCTCAGATCACCAGCAGGAAGAAAAACAATGTTACTAAATAGTTTTCCAAAGGTCCAGGAACAGAAATAGTTATTCCATACCACAGGATTTTTACAAATTGGCTCCACATACTGCATCCTGGCATGAACAGGAAAAGTGCATCTGGTGGATGTATGGGAGATTCTGTCCATGGCAGGATGAAGTAAATTATTCTGGGGAAAACCAGCACAAGGAGTGAACAGCAAGACACATCACCTACTGACCACCGCTGCTAAAAACTGACAGGAGGAATGCAGCTCACAATAATTTGTAGATTTTTACAGAGCACTCACTCATCTGTTTTCTGATGGTAAAACACAAGGTGTTTTCTGATGTATTATGCTGTTGTACAGTTGTCAAAATGCCTCTCTTCTTAAACAAAACTGTTAAAGATGTTGCCATAAGTGAAAAATTCAGTGTCAAATAATGTTTAACAGACTCTAATTAAATGTCAAGGAAATGCAAATGGTTGTAAATTGGAGCCTTAATGAGACAGACAGGAAGACTGATACTAAATTAAACTTCAGTAAGGCAAGAAACACAGGTAGCTCTAGCCAAGTAGTCTCTTTTAGAGACTCAGAAATCTTTTTGCCCACATTTGGCAAAGAAAATGGTCATGCCCATGTTAGCACTTTCCTCACTTCGAGGCAGAATATGGCCAGTAGCTGTATGATGCCAGGGAAGAGACTAGGGCTGTTTGCTTCACTGTACCTTTCCGTGTGGGGCGACCTCTCACACCCCAAAATAACACAGGAGGTCAGTGAGCATGGGTTCAGAAAAGGAAGAGTAATCTAGAATGGTGGAAGAAGTTGCCTACCTCTTATGAAACACACAGCTTCTCACTGTTTCTTCAAAATACCCAGCCTAGGCTTCTGTTGTCAGTGTGGAAGAAGCAGACTAGCCAAGGTTAAGATTTTAACGTAACAGTATAAATACTCTTTATACTGATAGCATGTCAGTCACTGGAACCAAACCAGGTACTCTTTCAAGGGCTCCATGTTACAAAACGTAAAACTCTTCCAGCAATGATATTTCCTTATGAAGGCAGTAGGACTGAAATGCCCAAAGTGTGACTTTCCAGCAGCTTGCCAATTTTAATCAAACCATTAGTTCAGAAATCAAAGGCATGTTCATCAATTTTAGAACATTGTTTTTACAGATTTACTGAGGAGTGAAAGAGTGGTCATGTGAAATGACCCTTTTTATAGGTAATGCAGTGAAAATGCATAAACAGCTCCTGTGTGTGCTGTAGTTCATCAGCTGCCTTTCAGTTTGAGGTAGAAAAGTGTATTTACTCAAAATCCAAAGGTTTTCCTGGTCTGCTATTTCATAGATTTGTGTCACTGAGACGTGAGTCCCAGCCAAAGTGCTATGGGGAATGCAGTGTCCGACTTTGATTATTGCTGGTTTGTGTTTAAAACAGTAACCAAAATTTAGTTCCCACATCCAACTAGTGGCAGATTTCTTTTTGCATTCCTGAGAGCACATTTGTTCTGTTGCTCTCAAAAGCAGTGTGAATGCACAGGCAGTGCTTTTCTGCCCACCCACCATCCCAAGAGGAATGTAAATAAAACCAAAATGTATTTTAACAGAAAGCACAGATAATTTTCAGTTCACTAAATCTATTCTGTCTCCAAGCAGAACACTAGAAAATCATACAGTGCATGTCCTCCCATAGCAAATTTACAACAGAATTACATGGAAGAATGTATTGATGTTTTAATCTGTCATCCAAAACAAGAAAGCCACTAAGAAGGAGCAATATCTATAACCAGTATTATGTAGCATTAAAATTGTTCAATATTGGTTAGTTTACTTGCCCTTCTAAAGCTATTTAGGAGGAATTCAGTAGAGACTTATTACTAGAAACAGGGAAATACATCTAAAAATTATATAT